GTCCGTTTCGACACCGGCGGCCTCAGCCGCGACGCATTTCCGAAGGGCTTCATCTTCGGAACGGCGACGTCGGCCTACCAGGTCGAAGGAATGGCCGATAAGGAAGGCCGTGGACCCAGCATTTGGGACGCCTTCATTAAAAATCCCGGTAAATTTTCCATGGGTCGACCCGACAACCCGACCCGGTTCTGCCATTTTCAGAATCTTTTCTCTTCTTTTGAATTTTTGCTCTCAATCTGAATTTGTTAATGTAATGTGGGTTTGTTTGGGAACAGGGATTGTAGCAAACAATGGTACTGGAGAGGTTTCTGTGGACCAATATCACAGATACCAGGTGAATTCTCTATTATTTAACCAAAAACTTCTAAAATTATATGGCAACGTTGAAATTGTTAATTACAGTGACCAGATATGTATTTTACTTTATTTTTTTATATATTTTGTTGGTGATTTTTCTAACTTCTACTAAATTTCTGGTTTTGATTTTTGTTATTACATAAGGGTGTCTGAATATAATGTTGATGGTTTTTGTATGTTACAGGAGGATATTGACATCATGTCCAAGCTAAATTTTGATGCATACCGCTTCTCAATTTCATGGTCCAGAATTTTCCCAAGTAATTTATTGAAACATTGTCATTATAAAGTTAAGATCTGAAGTTTTTTTTTTTTGTTTTTACTTCTTTAATGTTCACTGATCTTTTGCATTGTGTTGTTAATGTCTAGATGGAAGAGGGAAAGTGAATTGGAAGGGAGTAGCATACTACAATAGGTTGATTAACTATTTGCTCAAAAGAGGTGAGAGCAAACAGGACAATTACCAAAACACCCTAGATTTCATCTTCTGATTGGCCAACATTTTGATGGTACTTGATTTATTTGATCCATTGATTTGTAGGCATCACTCCATATGCCAATCTGTACCATTATGATCTTCCTCTGGCATTGGAGCAAGAATATAAAGGCCTATTGAGTGAGAGAGTAGTGTAAGTTAACACTTATCAGTAGCAGTTTGGTTATTGGTAATGATATAGATGGATAGATTGGAGTTTGAATGTTCAATATGGTTTGATTTTTGTAGGAAGGACTTTGCAGATTATGCAGACTTCTGTTTCAAGACATTTGGGGATAGAGTTAAGAATTGGATGACGTTTAATGAACCGAGAGTCGTAGCAGCTCTAGGATATGATAATGGTTTTTTCGCTCCCGGGAGGTGTTCCAAAGAATATGGAAACTGCACGGCTGGAGATTCTGGAACTGAACCTTACATTGCTGCACATCACTTGATTCTTTCTCATGCGGCTGCTGTACAAAGATATCGCCAGAAGTATCAAGTAAATTTAGACTATCTTTTGTTGCCTTTGGAATGAATAGCCTAATTTATTGAACAGAAAAGACTTTAAGAATTCTCCTATCTAAGATACATGTTTTTTATCTAGGAGAAACAAAAGGGAAGAATTGGTATTCTTTTGGATTTCGTTTGGTATGAACCTCTTACTCATTCGAAGGCCGACAACTATGCTGCTCAAAGAGCGAGAGATTTTCACGTTGGATGGTAAACCATTGATGCTTATCAATTACAATCTTCATTCTTTTCATGTTGAAGTGTTCATTCTCATGAGTGTATTGGCTTCACATAGGTTTATTCATCCTATTGTATATGGGGAGTACCCTAGAACGATGCAATCAATCGTGGGTAATAGGCTGCCGAAATTTACTAAAGAGGAAGTCAAAATGGTGAAAGGGTCGATAGACTTCGTTGGAATAAACCAATACACGACGTACTACATGTATGATCCTCATAAGCCAAAAGCTAAAGTGCCTGGCTACCAACAAGACTGGAATGCAGGATTTGCCTGTGAGTTATCTTTCATTTATTCCTTTTCAGAATTGAAATGAAATGTTTCTAGTTGTGTTAGTCCTTTTAAGCCTCTTTCTTCTGACCCATACTTGACAATGAACTGTGCAGATGAGAAGAATGGAGTGCCTATTGGTCCAAGAGTAATTTCATTTCTCTCTCTCTCTTCGTAGTTTATATTATTGAATTAGATGTCTCATTCTGAAAACTACTATTATGAATGTCTACAGGCTCATTCTTATTGGCTTTACAATGTCCCATGGGGAATGTACAAAGCATTAATGTACATAAAAAAGAACTATGGAAACCCAACTGTCGTTTTATCGGAAAATGGTAAGCACCATAGCTACCATACCTTTTTTCTATCACTTTATTGTTTCTACTGAGATGAAAGAAATAGTTGTTCAAATTATAAAGAAAACTGGATTTGCAGGCATGGATGACCCAGGTAATGTCACACTTCCAAAGGGACTACATGATACCACTAGAATCAACTTCTACAAAGGCTATCTGACTCAACTAAAGAAGGCAGTTGATGAAGGAGCTAATGTTGTCGGGTACTTCGCTTGGTCGTTGCTCGACAACTTCGAATGGAGGTTGGGCTACACTTCGAGATTTGGTATCGTCTATGTGGATTACAGTAATCTCAAGAGGTACCCAAAGATGTCTGCCTACTGGTTCAAGCAACTACTTGAGAGAAAGAAGCATTGAGAGAGCTTCAATCCACTTTTCTTACCTTCTACTATGAGTTTGACTAGAAAGCTTTAGTTCTTGATGAGCTATAATATCGTATGACGTATCTATCTTCCTGCAACTGTAATCTTATGATAAAAAATGGACAAGTTCCAATTTGAAGTAACATCTAAGCTTATCATGTCACGAATTATATTACTACTGTATTGAAGGCATGAATGAAGATCCAGAGGCGATAAAGGTGTAGGGGTAAGAGGAAGGGGGAAGTTTCATCCCCTCAAACAATCACCTCAAAAAAGCAAGAGATTTCCAGTTGAGGGATTAAAACTTGGGTTGGGTCAATCGTGAGAAATGAGACAAATAGAAATGCGATTACAAGACACCAAAATTAACAAAACTTTATAAAAGAAATGATATTCCAATAATCCATACTATTTTTAAGCAATAAATGAAATTGATGAGTTACAACTCTACATTTAGTTGTCATGTCACAAAATTTCTACAGATTTCTCAACTCTTTCCCTCCCCAATTCAGGTACTGGCACAAAGTTAAAAATGATTTAGATCAAAATCATCAGGCAGTAATCCCAAGAACTTCCTACGCTTTGTCATTAAAATTTGTAGTCTGTGTTAAACAATGCTTTCCATTTTGGTCGGTTCAATCACTACAATTACACTCAAAGTGCATTAATGCAAAAACACAAATATTTTCCCAACATAAATTCTGAATGGATTTTCATGACATAGAATAGGGGTTTCGTCATTGAAATTTACACAATCATACTCGAGAGAAGAAGTTCAAAATACTATTCTTTTGAATACCTGAACTATTACAGTTACTTTTTCTCTTGTTCTCCTTGCCTACGACTCTTTTTCTACCGATGACAGTGCTTATCTTTGAGCTCACACTTTTTTGGGATTCTGGTGTCAATTCTAACAGCACCAAATCCTCTTCTTGGGTCACCTCTGATTTGTACTCAGAAAAATTATCCACTTGATAGGAGAGAGTTTTGTAGAGTTTTCTTTTCTTGGAAGATTCTAATATTAAGTTATCTGAAGTGTCACACGACGATTCCTCACATTCATCCTCGCTTATGACTAAAATTTCTTCATCAGCACTATCTGTCAAATCCAATTGCAGGTCATCATCTTTCCTTCTCTTGAATGGATTGTTGTTAGGAGTCTTTAGTGACTTGTAGTCAATAACGTTTTTGTCTTCATTAGTCCTTTGAACGTCCAATGGTGTACTCAGCTTCTCTAGAGCCAATTCTTCTTTAAAATTCTTCTCATCTACGACTGGTTTAATTCTCTTATCTGTCATAAAATGGTGGTTTGTTATTAAATCCAATGTACTTGTTTTGTAACTAAACCCAATATCCTTTCTCAATGCAATTAATTCAACAAAAAAAATACATCCATATATCATAAAAGTTAACTGCAATCAACCGTCTATTTCTATAAAGAATATGCTAAAAAGATTCCATATATGATATATCATAACCTAACTTTCAGGTCTAATAGCAACTTAGGGCAAAATCAAAGTGTTTCTTCTCTATTGATAATCAACTGATGTCAATTTTTGAGACCACAAACAAAAGAAGAATTAATTAAAAAGATTACATGTACCAATAACCTGTCATTTAAATATTTAAGTTGAGTGGTAATTTAACAGTTTCAAGGACTAAGCACCAGTTTTCATATTGTTGGGAGAAAATGTTGTAGGTAAACCCATATTGCAGATTATGTACTAAAGGTGGACTGTTCCAATCGAGGCTACGGTGGCAATCCATCAAGGTCCTATAGTATTATTCTAGTTGATTGCTCCCTTACTAAACGATGATCATATCTAAAGCACCAAGAAGTCAAGCGTGCAGGTTTCCCAACAAATTACACAAATTTAAATCTAGTCTTTGGCCTATCTCTTGTCTGTTTTAGTTTATGTTTTCTTTGTTTTAGCATGTAGCAGCATCATTGATAGTTTAGAGCTTTGCATTCATCATTCATCAAAAAGGAAAAGTTAAAAGATTATCATATTGTTGAAATTTAAGGAACTTTTAAGCCTGAGCTAGTAACGTTCAGTTGTGCCAGAAAACTTACCCGGGATAAGTCTTTCGTTGTCCTTACAGGCGAAGACCATGAAACAGCTCTCTTTGGCAGATACCTCGGCTGCCTCAGGCCTTGGAAGTCTCACGGTGTTCTTGATTCGCATAGGGTCTTGGCGACATTCGTTGCTTGGGAAATAGTCAAAGGCCTCCATAGTTATGGGGTTTAACCTTCCTTCAGCAATTGAAGCAGCTATTGAAGGAGGCATATCTCTGTTTCCAGCATAATTAGTTAAAGAAAAACTCAAAAAAAATATTCGGTTCACTACTAAAGCATATAGATGTTATACGTCCTCGAACAGAATCTACTTAGAACTAGTCGTTAACTTGTCCTCCTTACTAACATCTTTGCTCGTTATGACATTACCACGGTAGTTTTTAATTAAAAAATTGCATTAATGTACAAAGGCGTCGAACCAACCTAAGGCATGACTGCATGACGCCAGACATGGTAATATTATTATTAGGTACATGATCACCGAATTATTAGGATCAAAGGTTGGCTCTTCGATTCTACGAGTCTTTCTCACTATAATCCTGATGCCTATGCTGACATCGGCTTATCTCTACATGATGCTACAAGAAAAAAGTGGAATCAGCAGGTAAAATTGTTATTGGGTAAAGGATACGGTCCCAGGAAATCAATTTCTCCATCTAGGGACTGCAGAAGCCCTACAGGAAGCAGTTTCATGTGTCTAAGCTTTCTTGTTTCAACATCATATCTGCACGGGACTACAACAAGTCAGAACTTGATGAAACAAAATGGAAATGATGGTTAATGCCGACCCAAATCACAATTTTCATCATTGTACGCACATCTGTGCGTGCTGAAAAACTGCCATAGCTTGTCTAAAAAATTTGAAGTAATCTTCAGGCATTTGTTTCCTTTTCTCAAGCTTCAGAACAGATAGAACCTGAAAGAGATGCCAGTTAAAACCATCTTAAAATGATTGCCATAAAACACCATTTTGAAGCAAGCAGAGGTGCTTACACGTTCCAAATTCCGATACTTGGAAACCAAGGCATACGCCTTCGCAATGCCAATTCCAGGAACAGAAGGAAGAAAATCACAGCCAGCCAATACACACATACCTGTAGAAAACAAAACAAAATTCATCTTTATTCAGTCCATATAATTTTGATGAAGACGGTGTCCTGCATCAAGAATCATTCACAAATCCAGTTGCAAGAATACGATGGTAGAAGAAGGCTTCAAGTAGAACTAGGAGCTCACCCGTGAGCAATTCCTTATCAAAATTTCTGAAGGAAGGTGTGCAGCCTGCAGAGTCAAAAATCTTATCCAGCATCATCTCTTCACCATTGCCATATCGGTCCATCTTAAAGATTGCCTGTCAAGCAACGCCAATCAACGCCAAGAAAGCCCCGCACTTTCGTGCAATAAATTGTACAAACAAAGGTAGCATGAGAGCACTAGACCTCCATTTGCATGAAACCAAAGCATTGTGGAAGTTCTTACAGCTTTACAACCATATGCAATCAGATCACTATCCTCTGTAATCACAGCCGCAATTCCCCCGTTTTGTGTTTCAAGGCTGGAAAGATACGCTAACTGTGCATCAGCCTCATATGGGGCTACCACAAATTCAATGTTCTGTTCTCTAAGGAGCTAAAATGATTAACAATTGAAACAGTTAATATGGGGAGAACGTAAATCACACGGTGTATATTTTAAATCGCAGCTAACATTCCGATTTTTTGAAATTCGTAGAGAAACTCAAGAAAATTGGTAAACGTGCATGCAATGCGTATATATTATTTGGAAAACACTTGCCTTTATGAGTTGATTTGCTATGGAGGGAGTAATGTTCACTGCTCGCTGCATAAAAAATAATAATACGTT